TATAAAATATCTATGTGATCTTCTCAAAAAAATTTATGGATATAATTAACCTTTTGTATTTCATTAAGCAAAGGTAGAATAAAAGATCTATAATTTAAAATAATATCTTTGAAAAAATGCTGTATAAATTTAAATTTTTGATTATCTTTTTATTAAAAGGTTATAAAGTTATATTAATTTATTTAAATCGTTCTTGTCAAGTTTTTGGAATATATTTTAAATGAAATATATAAAAATTACAACTCTAGTTTACTTGGAATTTCGAAAAAAAAATAGTTGGATGAGTAGTGGCATAAATATCCAATTTGGCTTACAATACTATTAAAATAATTCTGAATTATTTTCTAATCTATATCTAATAAGGAAATTGTAAAATAATTAGATGTATATTTTCTATACAGATAATCATAATTTTTGTATTTAACTTTTGAAAATATCAATCAATTGTTTTCATCTATCTCAACTGAATTTAAATGAATATAAAGTAAATTAAATTTAGAAATTTACTTTTTAATGATAACATATAAATTTGATATAGAGTTGAATTTTTTTAATTTATTCAAATAAATTTTCCATTTAATCATGTTTTATATTCTTATTATACAAAAACTTCGATTAAATTTAATTTATATCAAAAGTAATTAGTCTAGAATCAAATTTCATTATTTTTGTTCTCATTAGAATTAAAAAAATTAGTATAATCATAGTTTTATTCACTATTTTCAGTAGTATTAAGAAATTTTAATTTCAAGCTCTTATTATTTTTGGCTTACCACATTCATTAATAAAGATTAGAATTTATTAACTCTTTAAAATTGTAGGCTTAATTTAAATATTTAGCTTGACAATCCTCCTATAGAAAATAAATCAATTATTTTTTTTTTAATTAATTCTATAGTCTAATAGAATTAGAGTCCCCTTTTTAGCATTGAAAACAAAGAGAAAACTTTTAATTCTACATGTATATATTACTCTTAGGATAGATTGGATCAGGCAAAATAACATTATACAATAAAATTACACAATCTTATGAAAAAAAATTTTCAGGCGGAGATGTAAAAAAATTTTATAATTATTGCTCTCTAATAATAGTAATTATTACTTTTTGGGATTTATGCGAAATAGGAGAAAAATAAGAAAATATAAGAGAAAATTTAAAAATGCTAGGATAATATAAAATTAATTTAGTGTTGTTTTTTGAGAAGAATGATTCTTCTGAGATCATTTGTTAGCAAATTGATGAAATTATCCCTAAATCAGAATCATAAAATATCATTTTACAAGAAAATCACTATCTTAATAATATATATGAATGAAGAGTATGATGGAGATATATTTGAAATTGAAATCTTGAAAGATTATTATATCGCATATTCCTATAATTTTTATAAATAAGCAATAAAACTAATATAAGATAGCAAAATTTCTCAAGGATTATATCCAGATTATTATTCTGCATTAGCTTAATTTGCACTAAAAACAGTAAAAGAAACCATAAAAAAAATTTGAGGGGATGAATTAATAGATGAATTAAAAGAGAAAAATAATTTATTGCCTTTAAAATTCATTTTGAAATGAAGAATACATTATTTAAATATTATTGGAGGATTGTTGATAATTTAAATCAAATAATTCTTTCTGGACTTCAAATCTCAAATTATATAAAAAATTGGTATTATTGAAATGAAATTTGGAGTGGTTGTAATTCCTTAACAGTATGTGGATAAATAGATGACAATCAAAAAGATGACTTGATAAATTTTGAAGGCCTTCCTCTGCAATTAGATTTTACATACCATAAAAAAAAGTTGAAAATTAATCATTCAATATATATATATAAACTGTTAATAAACACAAATTATTGGAAAAATATCTCCCTATTATTGAGAGAATCTCAAGAATTATTCTTTAAAATCAAAGTTTAAATTTTGTTAAGAATGTTTAAATTGATGATGGATGAATATTATTTTTAACTTATATTTTTTTTAATTACAACATGCAACATAAAATTTTAC